ATGGCGGTAACGCTGACCTCTCATTCGCCGGCGTGTAATATCCGCGATCCATATCGTTCAGTGCCGCTCTAGCGATTTCTACCACCGGACCCACTTTTTGGACCGGGTTGCCACCGGCCTTTGGTTGCCACCTCCCCACTACCACGTTGCGGTCGAACTTGTTTGGGCGGCATCAGGCCGACGTGGCTGGGATTTTGTGACCCGGTAGGATATCTTTCACGCACCGCTCTCGGCAGCTCAAGTACCAGTTGCGGTTAGGGTTATCCGTAATTCCTATTGGCGCTTCCCCATAGACTACTGGTGCAGGTTGTAGTCTTGTCTCGGGACCACCGTTCGAACATGCGTTCTATACGATCAGTGTACGTGTCCTCTTGTTTCCGGGCCTTATCTGAGCATCTTGTTTGCCTTTGGCCGCTCTGGCCTCCGCCGCCTCGGCTATTGCCACCACCGCTGTTAGGCGGTGTAGACCCACGCTGTGGGGAGTTAAGTTGCATAGCTGCAACTCCTGCCCATGTCACTTTGACTTGGGGTTGGATTGGCGGAGGCATCTGTGGGGGACAATAAGCCTGTGCTGTTGGCTGTCAAGGTACAACTTGGGCAGGTGACGTGAGTGCGCCCGCCCGGACCACCGGGTATGCTTGGCCCGCCTTCCCATCGTAAACGGGTTTCTATGCTGTAAATTGCCGAAAATAGTCACGAAATTATGTCGGGGATTTAAGCGTCTTGATGCTCAGGGCACGGAGCAGTTCTGACTCGTGCACATTCTGCTTCAAGAACTGCAAGGCCATGGTATCGTCCTGGTTTGCTCGTGTCTGGAGTGTCTGGATTGCGTCGTAATACTCCTTAGGCGTTTCGCAGCCGTGTCGGTAGGCACGGGTCGAGATGCCACCTAGAGCGTTGCCTTGTTGATTCTCGTCGCTGTGTTGAGCAGCAAACTTTTGAATTCACTCCTAGACCGTCCAACCGTCGCCACTTTCACGGTTGGCTGAGCCCGTGCACCATTCCTTGACTGAATTCGACAGAACCTAGTAGATACGGCTCATGAAGTCAGGGTCCGGCTTGTTTAAGTCGGACGATTGTTTACAATTCCTTCTGATCTGGGCAATCCATCCTTTTACTAGCGTTTTGTGGCCAGTGAAACTTGACAGTGTAGTGCGAACGGAGGCCTTGGCTACGGCGGTGGCCATTTTTTTCATAGCCTCCAGGTTAGTCAAAGGCGGACCGGCCCTTAACGACGGTGCATGCGCTACCTGCTGTACCTGTGGTGGTGGTTGCAGCTGTTGTACTACCGCTCGTGGTGGTGGCAGCGGCACCTGTTGCGCATGGTTTGGCTGTTTGTAACCGGTTCATAAGCTGGTTCGGTGAATACTGGATGGCTCCGTTGGATGCGATCTAACCATACGCTCCATTCGGTAGCTGGATCAGCGTGGGCACATTCTGGCCTTTGTTTAGTTGAACCAACCAGGAGACTTTATCACGATAGCGAGAGCGAACGAATGGATTCCTGCCCAGAGGCCTAGCTTCCGCAGACCGCGGTGGAAACCTTGATCCTGCTACTTGAAGTTGACTACAAAAGTCGACCGATAAACGGTAGTTGCATGGTAGCCGACGGAACATCGGAAGCTAAATCACTGAAGCTAGATCGGTTACTTCAGGCGGCCACCGAAGCCGACTGTATACTAAGTAGCCGCTCAGAGCAGCCTCACCACAGACCTCAGTCGGAACTACGATCTGACCCTTGAAAGAGCACTGTAAACACTGCAGACTGTAAACGAGGATTCGCTACCTTAGCCGACTACAGAATCGACTATGTTAATGTTAATGGTACCAGCAAAACTTATATTTTGGCCGATCACGGAAGCCGACTATAAAAACCAACAAGTCGACCTCATGAAAACAAGGAAAGAAACGGAACAAGTCGCGAATCGGGATCACGATTGCTATCATCTAAAAGTCTGGCCGGATTCTCCGTTTGACCCCTGACCTACAGGCTCTCATCCAGGAACCTGTACCCGGAGCCCAACCAAAGTCTCCCCCGGAGGATATCGGATCAACCAGCCGACACACCGGTGACCACGACTACGCGCGCTTCTAACGTGCTGCCTTTCCCTCAAAGGGCCTCCGACGGTTTGGCCGACGTCTGACGACTCTGATGATAACCGAGGATAAGGCGACTCCACCGCTTCCCTATAATTTAAATCGACATCCTAGGCAGACCAGGCTAGTAAACACAGCCTGCACCCTTTTAACGACCCTCGTGGACGTGGGTCGCCTATCCTCAACAGAAGCGGTTTGGCGTCTCAGGTTCGCGACAAAGAAACGAAGAATCGGATGTGACACCAACTAAGAACCTGCAAGTGCATGAAGATAAAATTTCTTCCGGCAACCAGCCCCACATGGGCTTACCGGAGAAACGGGCAGTCGAACTCAGGTTGGGACCCGTGGCACAACGCTGCCGAAGCGCGAGAACTGCACGCCGGTTTCAACCAAAAAGGTTATCCTGTGGTTTGAAGTCCTTTGTTACCACAAGCGAGTACAATTGCATGATGTAGTACTAGTCACTTGGCCGACAGACGCCATGGCAACAAGCCATCACCGACTTGAATTTAACCGTACGGAATTCGGAACGTCCAGAGGCATTTGACTTGGAGCGACGGGTTAACCGGCCAACACGAGCTCGGATCCGACCCAGGGTACATATCAGGACGGAGTCGACCATATGATTCTTTACCATCCCTACATGGGTGTAATAGTGTAAGTCATCTCGGTCGACCATGACGGAGAACGTATGACCGACCACTAGTCGTTCGGATCACACGACCGAACGGAGGTCGGAAAAGCACGACAACAAGTCGACAACGCAACCATAAGTCGGATATCAACTTCCCAACGGAAGATTACACCTTTCAAACGGAACGCCGTCGAGTGGCATATGAACCAATAGGCTCTCCAGGACATCACGCCCAGTGAAACCAGCTGGATTGTCCGGATAGGGTCCGGAACAGATCTCCCGTGGGAAATTACACGGCGTGAACCGCCCGGAGCGGACCGCGTTCTCCGATGACCAAGACAGGATGCACCATGCCGACTTCCCGGGTATTTCTGCCAAAGTGTAGGCACGGGATCAGCCGAAGGACGGGCCTAAAAAGATCCCGTTTTTATACCTCAGAGTGTGCACCTCGCGGCGAAATGACCCAATTAGGTCCGACATAGCCGGGAGACCCCATTTCATGCTTGTAGCTGGGCTGATAGGATCAAACGAGGACCCCCGGACCGAGCTACCACAAGTGTCGGACTCTCACCCAGAAGATGTTGGGCCAGTTGTTTTCCCAAACGGAAGGGGCTCGGAGTCAGCAAAGAGGCTTTGCTCACCTGAGCCGCCCTCGGACTCGTGCTTAGAGGCTTAACCCCGGACACCGAGGTTGCCCTCAGTCCAGCCTCGGAAACCTGACAATAACCCTTTCCACGTTGCCCAATCAGCGACAGGAGACGAAGTTATGTGTTTTGCCCGGACGAAACACCGAGGATCCAGCTGAGCCGATCGCCTCACGGAGGTTACACGGGCTACCAAGGTTATCTGGGACAAGGAGAACAGCCCGAATCGAAGCCTCCAGGCCGGCAGTAACCATCTTCTTGTTGCCCAATAAACGACGGGAGACGAAATTTGAGGTTTTGCCCGAACGAATTGTCGGTAATCCGACCCAGAAGGGAGCCTAACTGAAGCTACCCCGGCCACCGAGGCTGCCTCGGATATGAACCTCATTCACTCGGACTTCGAACGAACCCCCGAGGCCAACAGGGATCGGATCCTACCCGGAGGCCCAACATATCCGACGGTAACCCTGCCCTTGTTGCCCAACAGGCGATTGAGGATGATCCTGCAACATCTCCACTAGACCATCAAACCACGATCCACCAGTGCAGCCCGGGGTAACCCCCGGACATTAACTTAACAACCGAGACTGCTTGTGGACTTTCACTTGATGACCGAGGCTACCCTCGGATTCAACTGTTGAAGCCTGGCATCAGCCGGTCTATGTTGCCCAATTAGGCAACTGGACACGAAACCGACGGGTTTTGTCGGACGAAGCCCCATGGAACATCGGAGCCGATCGGACATAGGAGTCGGACTCCCCGCTCAGAAGCTGGAACCAACAAAATAGTTGTTGACGTTGCACTGTGCAGTGTAAAATACGTCCAGCGGCCATTTAACCCCTCGAAAACCGGCACCGGGTTCGGGCGTTAGCTCAAATCCAACACAAAAAGTAGCTCTAGAGTCTAAATGGCCGTACTCTTTACTGTGGCAAGTTAGATACGACCACAGTGCGGCAAAATAGCAAAAGGCTGTTTGAACGCATTGTGCGGTAAAATAGCAAATGGCTATTTTGCCTACCATATTTCGGCAAAATAGCTAAAGGCTATTTTAACGCAGTGTGCGGCAAAATAGCAAAAGGCTATTTTGGCGCACTGGGAAAAAATGCGGTAAAATAGCCTTAGCCATTCTGCAGACAACTTTCATAAACGGTAAAATTTTTCGACATCGAAAAGCGCCGCTTCGGATGCGCATAAACGTAGCCGGAAATCGAAATTAGCCTTAGCCTAACATTTTCGAATTTCGATTTCCGGCTACGTTTATGCGCATCCGAAGCGGCGCTTTTCGATGTCGAAAAATTTTACCGTTTATGAAAGTTGTCTGCAGAATTTAATAAAATAAAATTACGTACTCACATGGAGCTACTGCTGGCTAACTTTATCTTGGTGTGCGTAAGTCGTAACGGCTGATTTATTATTCGAATATTGGTGTATTTATTTAGTCATATTAATTCTTTTTGGTTTTTGTGTATTTATTTGATGATTTTTTAATTGTTCTAGTAAATAATGCAAATCGAATATTTCTATTACCACCGATACGTGTTATGGTACATATTCCAGACGTTTTTTTAATTATTTTAATGTTTTCGCGGTTTTTCGCGTAGATAAATTCCAGATAAACCATACCGCACGTTCTGATGATTTTTATTGATTTTATTCTCTGACACTGATTAGACACAAAATTTAAAACAGCAGCGTGATCAGATTTTATTCGGCCTGGATGTTGCCGCGTTCGGAAACGTAGATTCCGTCTAAGAATTTGCGGATGTCTTTGTTCTTCACGGTGGTCGACTGCTGGATGCGGGCAGCTGCAAATGAAAATCAAATAATTAATACGCAGTCGAATCATTATGAAAAACACAGAAATCTAACCGGAAAGAAGCTAAATCATTGGGAATTTAAAAATTAAAAGCAACAGCAATCTACATTAAAAAAATTGGAGTTTACATGAACTATTTTATGATTTTTACAGACTCATTCCATCCTGTTTTTTTTATTAACATCAGTGGATAAAGCAGAAAAATATAAGTTTTAAAATCAGCAGATAAGACCGGGAAACAGAAATCCAAAAGCAGAAAAATACACGTTGTGCCATAAAAAAATCTACAATTAAAATAAATACCGAAAAATTCTGCAAAACTCGTAGCAATTTTCCAAATCTAGCCGGCCCATTTATTAGAAAGCCCGAGTGAAAATCGCTATAACGACTAAATAAACAAAATAATAATTCCGCAAAATCCATGGGCATTTTTCCAAATTTAAGCAGACCAAGATATTCAAAAATTCAAGAAAAAATCGACAAAATGGTTAGAAAAATGTCAATTGTACCTGACTGTGAAACGAGCTCCAAATCGATGCCATCAATGATCAACTCATCCTTCTGATCGGGGGAGTTGACGCAGGTCACACCGTCGGCCATGGCCACCGTCCGGACGATCTTCTCGCCCAGAAAATTGCGGATCTCCACCATGGAGTTCTTCTGGATGGCCGTGCAGTTGATGGGGAAATGCGCGTACACCGCGCGCATTTTGTACCGATAACCCTGTTAAAAATCCATCAATCCCTTTTTCACGTGAAGAAATGCAAAAGGAAGGAATTTACCAGCGTCACTCCCTTGATCATGTTCTCGATGTGCGAGCACACGGTGCGGACGGCGGCGAGCTGCTTGCGCACCCCGAACCACTTCTCCACCCGCACCCGCTTCTTGCCCACCTTGTACATGTCCACCTGGATGTGGCCGAAGTTGCGCACGAGGGTGCCGCGTTTGCCCTTGACGGTGACGGTGCGTTTGGACACGCTCACTTCAACTGCAACGACAAGCAAGAAAAACCCATCACACGGGGTTCTTCGTTTGGCGTATGCATACGCCGCCCTGTTCACACTGTATACGATATCATGCGTTGAACAGAGAATTCTCCAGATCAACCGCATTGCTGAATACAACTCATCACGCACCATCTTGCGGGACGACGACGTCCTGATGCGACTGGATGGTCTTCATGATGGATGATCACAAAAAGGAGAGGGGAGAGATATTCCTGACAAAATGAAGGTTGGTGTGTAATCCAATGGAGAAGTGGGATAGAGGAGACAGTCAAGAAAACTACGCGCAGAGTTCAGTGAGCCGGTGAAATCAGCAGTCTGCGAAAAATCGTGTCGAGTCGAGTCGACGATACGGAGTGGACGTACGCTGCGTGCGACGCTAAGCTACGCTTCCGTCACCGCTACGTACATTGCGCATCTCCATAAAAAGGCGCATTCCGTCAGATTCCCCTTAAAACGTAACAGAACGTGCAAGATCGAACAGGATTTTGCTGAGCTTTCTGTTTTCTGTACTCGACCGTTCTCCGCACGTTGACGTACGCGTATTTATTTACGCACTGAATTTTTATTAGTATTTTCACTATTTTGAATTGAATTTCGGTCTTTTTCGTTTTGATTTTTATTCCAGATGTTTGTCCATGATTTTGTCCCGCCGATTTTAGATTTTGTGATTATTTTTGCGTAGGAAATTTATTTTTCCATCCGGGAGAGTTATCAGCGCAACGATGGATGCGCAGTCGAAACCCGGACCAGGCTCGGAATCGTCGAATTCCTCAGCAGCTGCTGTAAATTCCACTGTAAATTCCACAACAAATTCCGCTGCCAACACATCCCTTCCCTTTCTCCAGAAATATTCCACTACCGCGTTAGACAAATCCTTCGCCGACGAGCCCATTCTCCCACCCCCGCTCAACACCAACTCGGACCGCTTCTTCGAGGATCTGAACATCTTCGACGACGCGGACAGCAAAATGAAGCAGAATCTCGATAATGAGCTGGTTAAAGTCGCTCTCGACCAGGTAAGTGTTCTCGGAATTTTTTTATTAATTTTTGCAATGTAGGAGATTAATTTGAAGGGAATGGATATGCGGGATTATGTATCGGAGGTGGAGGCGGAGCTGAAGCGCGCCGAGGATGTCTCGCTGCATGATTATATTGCACAGGCGTATAACATCGCGTCGCTGCATTCCCAGATCAAAAACTGTGATTCCGCGCTCGAGGTAAAAGTTGTTTTTTAATCTTTGCAATGAAGATTATTTTAATTAATTTTATTTCTAAGCGTTTAGCAGATACGGGCACTGCAGTTGTTATTTGAGAATGAACTGAAAGAATTTACTTTATTAATTTGGAAAATGCCAATTTTTTAAAATTTAGATTCAAAAAAAGTTACAAGCATTTTTCTAGGTTTTTTATATTAAATGAATGAGAATTTTTTAGAAACATGTTGAATATAATTATAAATAATAATTAGTTTTAATTTATTAATTAGAATGTGTTTAATAAATAAAATAATTCACATTAATTGGTCTCAGTTTTGTAATTCTAATTTTTATACGTTTTGCTACTGAATATTTCTGGAGCATTTGTTGGATAAATTAAATTAGTAATCTAATTCGAATTTATTTGTATTTATTTAGTAGTAATTTTCGATTGCGAAGTTCTTTTATTTTCCTATAATGTTTTTATCTCGGTTTTTTGACTGGTAATCGCGGTTTATTGCCGTTATTTAGACAAACCATTTAAAAAAATTATTAGGATTCTTACTACATCATTGTCCGCCGTATTTTATAGCTTCTAAATTTGTTTTAACTGAAAGAACGCGATTTATTGTAGTTATGTAGAAAACACCCGTCAGAAAAATATTAGGATCTGCAAATTATTTTTCGCCGTATTTTATTACTTGTAAAAATTATTTTCTCAACTGAAAGAATGCTGTTTATCGCCGTTATTTGGAAAAAAAAACCATGGGGAAAAAATTTTAGGATCTTTGAAACGCTTTCCGTCGTACTTTATACCTTTTAAAATATTTGTTGAAAATTAATTAATGCGCTGCGAGCAGGTGATTGAGGATATGCTGCATTCCTTCAAGACGAATCTGAGCAACATCAGCAGCGAGATCCGCTCGCTGCAGCAGCAGTCGGCCAGCATGAGCGTCAAGCTGAAGAACCGGCAGGCCATCCGCGGCGAACTGAGTCAGTACATCAACGAACTGGCCGTGCCCGAGTCCATGATCCGCCACATCGTCGAGTCCCCCGTCACCGACCGCCTCTTCCTCGAGCAGCTACACGAACTCAACCACAAGATCAACTTCGCCAAACAGCAGGCCTTCCAGGTGAATATCGACCGAATTTAATTTTGAAAAAAAAATATTTTAATTGTAATTTATAATCCATTAAGAAAATTGACAAATTTATCGTAAGTAAAATTTTAATTTGCCGGATGAGACACGGAGCGATGTCAATACGCGATGAAGGATGAAAACGTGCGAATTAAATTCAGTTTTGAGGTCTCAGCTTGCTGACGAAATTAATAATTTTCTTAAAATCGGTGCTTGAAAAATAAAATTGTGGCTGGTTAATGCTCGGTTAAATTGTTAATCTTTTTCCCGTTTTTTTTAAAATCAGTTCGTGAAAATAGATAATTAATTTTACTTCAAATAAATTTTGGTTGAAGGGTTAATTTTCGCATTTTTTTTCAAATCAGTGCTTGAAAATATGTAAGTTGACGCTAAATAATTCTCGGTTAAAATATTTGTTTTTTAACGGATTTGTTCCTGAAAAAAAGTTTTTTTCTGAAAATGACACCAGTAATGAAAAATATTTTTTGAATTATTAAAACTTACTCAGTTTTTTGCTTCCAAAAATTATTATGTTGATTTATGCATTTTATTCCTGATTAAATTCTGAATTTAACTCGTTTACATTCAATTTTTTTTGCATGGGTTTTTTTTAAAAAAAATAATCGTGTTAAAAAATAATTTAATTGGCATACCTAAATTGGTTCTTCTTGAAATTTATTTTTTTATGGACTATTTTGAAAGCGAAATAAATGCGGAAGTCATCGTAATTTATAATTGTCTCAGGATGCGCGTTCCGCACAGGATGTGCGCGACGTCCTGATGAAACTGCGCGTGAAAGCCACGGCGAAAATCCGCGAATATTTACTATCGAAAATCCAGCAGTTCAAGAAGCCGATGACCAACTACCAGATGGCGCAGAACGCTATGCTGAAATGCCGCTTCTTCTACGAGTTCCTCCTCAACGGGGAACGGGACATCGCCAAGGAAGTGAAGGAGTCCTACGTGGACATCACCAGCAAGATCTTTTATTCCTACTTCAAATACTACTGGACGCGATTGATTAAACTGCAGTTCGACGATCTGCCGACCAAGGACGACGTGGTGGGCGCCGATGAGTCCAGTAAAAAGGGCTTTTTTGCCGCGCAACCCCGGTTGAAATCCCCGGTGTTCTCGCTGGGTGAGCGGGCCAATATCCTCCTGCCTGCTAGTTTGGAAGGACCAGTGCTGGTAAGTTATGAGAAAAATGGAAGATAAATAATGTAAAAATATATTTTATTTTCTAAATATTGTATTATTTTGTTACATATTTTTATTTGATATTTTATCATTATTTTTTATTAATTTTGTGATTCCGTAGTTAGTTTACTACGAGTATTTTCTGGATATTTTGTCTGTTTTTTATTCTTTCTTGTAAGTTGCCAGGAAAAGCTGAATAAATATATTGTAAAAATATTTTTTTAATTTATAAATATTGTATGATTTTGGTACATATTTTTGTGTTTTGTAAATTTTGTAACTCCTTAGCCAGTTTATTGAGTAGTTGTTATTTTAATCTTTTACTAAAATTTCTTTAATATTTTGTTTTGGAATTTTTAATCTGTTTTATCTGTGCCTGTTATTAATTTCATAAGTTCGTCGTCATTTAATCGGGAATTTTTTACTGCTTTTTTGCCGAGCGCTTAGCAGCTGTATTTCTGATGACCAAATTTTAAAAAAAATTCCATTAAAAAATTAAAACTCTCCAAAATTAACGAAAAATCTGAACAATTAGACAAAATAAAATCTGACGTAATCCAGCGAACAACCGGTAAAAATGAGAAGAAAAATCAAAATGAAATTGTAATTAATCGGCAATGACTTTAAAAAAAGGCAAAACAAATTACTCAAATGTCCAGTGATGCCTGTTAAAAAATATAACCGTTATAAAATATGCGCGGGTACTGCTTACCTCCTCGCAGTCCGAGAAGAATTATTCAAAAATTAACAAAAAATCGGGAAAAAGTGAAACGAAAATAAGATCGAGTATAATACGAAAAATTACCAGAAAAACATTCAAGGAAAAAATCAAAATAAAATTGTATTTAACTGAGATGGTAAAAGAAATTCACGGATATATGTGCAAATTATCTACAAATGTAAATGTGATAAAATCCGCACAGGTGCCACACACCTCGTCGCAGTCCAACCAGAAATTCCCCCTGGAGGTGCTCTTCCGCGCCTACCAGTGGGCGCTCGTGGACAACGCCTCGCGCGAATACCTCTTCATCTGCGATTTCTTCCTGATGGCCGGCCAACCAGCCCAGGAGCTCTTCAACCAGATCTGGGGCAAGACGCTGCTCATCTCCCTCAAGCACGTGGAGGAGACGGTGGCCGGGTGTTATGACGCCATCGGCCTGTACCTCTGCCTGCAGATCATCGAGCACTACCGGGATCTGATGGTCAAACGCTGTGTGCCGGCGTTGGCGGCGTATTTCGAGGGGCTGGTGGGGATTTTGGCGCCGCGGCTGATGCTGGTCGTGGAGGGGCATGTGGCCAGTTTAAGGAACGCGGATCCGTCGGCGTTTAAAATCACCACGCAGCCGCATTTTATTACGCGCAAGTAAGTTGGTAGGAATTTTTTTTGGAATTTATAATAAAATATTTTTCGGGAACTTGCGATGTATTTTGGATTTTTTTAAATATTTGTACTTTGGTTTTTTATTGCCGCTTTTATAATCACCACGCAGCCGCATTTTATTACGCGCAAATAAGTCCGCAGGAATTTTTTTGGGGATTTATTTATTTATTTTGGAATTTGTGGAATTTATTATCGAATATTTTTGTAATTTATATTGGAATATTTTCTGGGAAAATGCTGTGCATTTAAAAATTTTTTTCTAAATACCTCAGTCTCTTAGTGATGCTTTTAAAATCACAAGGCGGTCGCATTTTATTACGCGCAAGTAAGGGTATAATAATTAACATATTTTGTAATCTTTGTTAAAAATGTTTTTGGAAAATATGTGGAAACGTAGTACAGTGCCAAAAGCTCTTTATCTTCAACGTATTGGTGCGCTAGTCAAACTGTGAATTACTTCCCACTGCGTTGCCAGTTTAGGTGATTTATTTAGTTTCATGAAAACAACATTTTATTATTTTATTTTGTTGTTCTAAAAATTAAAACGCATATTCATTTTAAATTAATTATGTGTAGAATTTTAATTATTTTTTTACATTGAATTTTTTTCAGTTTTTGTATTACTTTTCTATCATATGTTTAATTTTTTGACAACACCGCCGAGCAATATAATTTAAAATACTTTACTAGTTTATTGGGCAGTAGCCGCCATAACAACAAAAGTGCAAGCGCGGGCACACTAAGTACTTTACAGTTAAAATTTAAACATTAAAAAAACAACCAAAATCTCTAGCCAAAATTTAAAATAAATGTGTATATCCTTAACTTATTTTTGTACATTGAATTTAATTATTTTTCTGTATTTCTGCTATTTTCTGCTATGTTTTTTGTTATTTTCGCTATGTTTGTTTTTTGTTGTTTTCGCTCTGCTATGTTTTTTGTCATTTTTCGCAGGTACGCCGAGCTGTCCGCCGCGCTGCTGGTCATCCGCAACCACGGCGCGGATAATCCGTCATTAAACACGCTGATCAAGCAATTGCAGCTAGAAATGGACAGTCTGATTATGCGGATGGCCGCCGAGTTCGCCGAGCGGAAGTTCCAGCTGATCTTCATGATTAATAATTACGATACGGTGTGGACGGTGATGCAGGAGCATCTGCAGGCCGACACGAAGGAGACCGACAACGTTAAAGTCATTCTCGGCCAGCGCATCAATGATTTCGTCGAGGAGCTGTTGTCGCCGTATTTCGGCGCCATGATCGAGTTTATCAAGCACAGTGAGGCCGCCGTGGAGCGCGGCCAGCCGGACGCCATCAAAGCCGACGAAAGTAGGGTTTTCTTGATTTTCGTTGCGTGCGTAATGCCTAGAAACCTCGACTGATTTTTTTATTCAGATTAAATTAAAATATGGAATTATTGTTTTTATGAAATTATTACCTTTTTATTTTTGTTGTTGGGCACAGTTTATTTAATTCCAGGCAGATTTAGTTGGTTTAAATTTATTTTGCATAATGAATTCACTTTCTACCTGTTCTGAATAATGTCAGTGTATTTTAATATTATTTTAGTTTCAGTTAATTTTCCGTGACTAGAATTTATTTAACACAGTTAATTTATGTCTAATCATTTCCAAGTAATTTAAGTTTGTTTTCAGTACAATTATTTTAGATATCTGTAAATTTTTGCTGATTTAAATTTATTTGAATGCAATTCTTCGATTTTTAACAAATTTGAATAAATTGTTACGATTTTATCACATGAAGATAATTTTTATGTGTTCTTTAACTGGAAAGATTATTAACTGGAACATCAAATAATTTAGATAAAGTAAATTTTGATTATTTTTTTTTAATTAATTCGATTTCAAAGCAGGCTAAAGTTGCAGAGATTTACAGCAGAATCTGCTAATGATTTTCTGGAAATATTTTGTTGAGTATTTGCAGTCCTCTGTGCAGAGTGTGTGTTGTGCTGCCATTAGACTATCGTAGTGCGATGGCTGACTTCGAGATGGCCTGAAGGAGCACGTTGCTTGTAAAAGCCGTAATTGAAGCAAATTCGTAGCATGTTCGTTTTTACTGGAACTGATGTCTGTAATTAATAACAATATTCTGATGAAATTTCTCCTATTTTTTTGTATGGATTTCTGATTCTTGAGTTTGTGCCTGCGTGCAGTTTTCGTGGCTAATGAATTATTCATGGAAATTTATTTTATTGATTACTTCTTTCACGTTTGATCCATTATTTCTTTTATTATTTAATAGTGTTGCGAGTTTGCGGTATAATATTAATTACGGAATCCGTTTGGCAGAGAAAATCGCCGGGATTGTGCGGGGTTTCAACAACAACTGGAAGAAAGCCATGGACGATATTAACGCCGAGGTGCTGCGGACATTCAACAACTTCAAGCAGGGCACCAATATTCTGCAGGTCCGCTGTGCTGTTAACAACTGTTGGGAATGCCATCGATTTTTTCTTGAATTTTTATACAGCCGTTTTCTTAACAAAAATTGAACAGTTTAAAATTAAATCTTTAAAGAATTATAAAATTAAATCTTAAAGAATTAAGACAAATACAGTAAGATTCTACGGCGTCGTTGTGGTATTATTTGGAAAGCTCGGTAATTTGAATTGTGCGTATTGTTATAGTAAGTATTCGAAAATTATTACAGAAAATAATATAATTATATGCAGCGTTTTTTTCCCCATTTTAATCGTGCTGTGACACTGCTGTCCAAATCCGCAATGAGTATATGTCACTGTTCAGCGTAGTGCAGTGGCAGTTTGAATATCCATTATAGCGATTCAAGTTTGACAAAGTTACAAAATATACCATTTATTACGAAAAAGAAAACGTGTTGTTAAATTTTTGCTGTTGAAAAATTAATTTTCTTCGAAACATAACATTTTTAATATTCGTTAAAAATCGGGGAATTTTCAAATCGGATTATCTGATTATGGTATATTTTTAATAAATTGTAAAATTATTTTTTAAGGTAAAAATTTAAAATTATTTTTTATTGTAAAAATTTAAAATTATTGTTTATTGTAAAATTATTTTTTATTGTGATACTGTCATTTTATTTTATTGCAGACGGCGCTGACCAATTTGCTGCAGTATTACCACCGCCTGCACAAACTCCTCTCCTCCCTCAATCAATTTAAGAACCTTCCCGTACGCAACGAACTCATCAACCTGCACCATCTCATGGTGGAGGTGAAAAAGTACAAAACCAGCTTCTGATTTTTCTTCCTTACAGTATTGTTAAATAGCTTAATCACCACGGTTTTATTGGTCAGAAAAAATGTAAATAATTGTATTTAATTTCGTTTTTCCTCCCCGGTTGTAGCTAATCGTAATTAAATTCATCGCGAATTGATCGATGTATCGTGTCGAAAATATATGGATAAAGAATTGAACACGTGCGATATAAACAGTATTTTTAAGTCATTTTTTAGTGAAGTTTTATTGGTTAAAAACTGAAATTAATTGCATTTAATTCCGCTGTTTCGCATTCCCCGACCGTAATTAGTTCTAAATTAATTTTTTAAACTTAATAAATATATCTCGTATAAAAGCACACGAAGAAACTTGTGAGAAGCTGTCAAAAAATGGCATCGCGCGGCTTTTTTAAATCAAATTTTAATCAAGATTTTAAAACTAAAACTATTTTATTTATTTAAAGCAAAATTTAAAAATTATTTAAAATAGAATGAATTAAAACATTAATCAAAATAAAATCCTTTCTAAAGAATTTACTTACATTTGAACCAAGATTGTAAACTGTATAATAATTATATATGTTTAAAAATAAATATGTTAAATTCTTTACAAAATGGAATTAAATGTAAAAAATATCAAAATAAAATTCTTTAAAAAAATTTTGAACGTTTTATTATTCCGCTACGATTGGATTTAATTGTAATTAATTTTCTTAATAAATTGATCACTTATCTGTCTGTACAAAATTACGATAAAGATGTCAACGGAAGCGATAAAATAATAAAAATCGTATCGACGGTGATGCGTCGAACGATACGAGCGTTGAGGCATCGCGTTGAGGCAGCCCGATTAGTGTTATCCTGTCGTCGGTGCGGTGAACGATAAGATTGGGGAATTATCGCGTTTCTGCGTATTGTCCATTGTACCGGTCATGCGGCGTTTGATCAGGCTATTGTTTCTGCACTGACAAGTGCGCAGGCTGTGAATGCAGCGCGTCACACGGCATTTTTGGAAGACGCCCGACAACGCAGGAAAATCATGCACCGATTCGGAATTTTTGTGGCGCTGATCGCCGTGCTGGCCGCCACGACGCGCGCCGCTTTCCTCCCGGATTTCGCCCAGATCCCCGCGCTGTCATCATGGATGGGGGATTTTTTTCAAAGTAAGTGTCACGATATGTTATCTAATTTTTTCCGGCGTTTTCAAATTTTTTTCCGAATTTTTTCTTATTTTTCGGAATTTTTTTCCCGATTTTTTTCCATATTTTATTCCATTAGACTGACGAATAATTATTGTATTTTTATGTCATCTTTCGTGCTCATAAAATTCCCGTACGAAAATTTTTTCTTTGTGTATTTTCTTCTGTTTTCTGTTTATTTTATTTACAGGCAGACAAAATTATTTTTGAATTATTCAATTAGTTTCAGTTACTTGTCAGTCGTTTTCTAATAATTAATTATTTTTTCCGCGCTCATAAAAATTAATTACCGTGGAAGTTTTGTTAAATTTTTTTATTTTTACATTGTATTTGACGTGCACATAAAACCCTAATTTTAGTATACATCTAACTAAATTGCAGACTGGCAGTTATTGAATTAAGCTGGTATAGGTAATTTTTTTTTATGTATTTTCCGGGAAATGTCATGTTTGTTTGTGGGGATCAAGCAATATTACTAATATTACTGGTTAACGTAGTGTAGTGGCAGTCCTTACAATGTTACTCTTGTAACAAGACTGCAGCTTGAAAAGATTAAATGGCAGTAAATATATTTTTTAGTCTGAATGTTTTCGGTTTATACCGCCTAATATGTTTCCGAATTTTCTTGTGGGTTCAGACTAATAATAATTTTGTCGAGAATGCGTCTCACTGTGAAACACGTTGAGCGTACGTGTTTTTTTTTTTCAAGACACCGGCGGTGTCCCGTGGCTGTCGTTGTGGCGCCCGCCCCGCGTGCAGCCGCGCGACTACACGGCGATTATGGAGAAACTGTGGGACATGGATGAGAACGGGATGAACTATCAGACCATGGTGCTGGACATCCAGAATCGCACGCTGTACAACGCCACCACCGATGTGGCGCCGCGCAAGTACGCAGTTTATTTTTACAACATATTTAATGATACTTATATTTCTCTTCTGATAATAATTTTTTTATTTTATTCATTCTTTCTAAGATGGCGAATAATTAATGCAGTCAAATTAATTTTGTTATTACTGGTGAACAAAATTAAAAGGAAATATTAATTAGTAATAATAATTTTTCCTATTTTTTATTTTGGTTACTAGTAATTATCGCTCATTATTCTTTCCTTTTAATTGTTTTTCTGACCGTTTGTTAATTAATAATTACTGACGAATTGCTCTTCTTTTTAGGAATAATGCTTAGTTGTTTTTTTTTTTTGTATTTTTGAGTCTTCGTCATTTGATTTATTGTTGTTGCTAATAATTAATATGTTTTTCTGCTAATTGTTTTTTTAATTATTATTTTGATAATTTATTCAATTAATAAAAATACCGTGACGTGTTATAATGTTTGGTTATAAATAATTGTGGTTTATTGGTATTTTGTGGATATTTATTTGCGTATGATTATTATTCATAAGAATAAATGATTGTATTTATTTTTCGGCAGGTTGTTCAAGTCGGTGAACGAGACGTTCGTGTTCCGCAGCGATGTGGCCAAGAAATTCCGGCATTTATTGGACAACTACAACGAGCAGGGCGGCGTGGCCGACACGCACACCGCCGCCGAGAAAAAAGAGATGGACGATTTTCTGGAGGCGCTCTGCCAAACGGACATCATCAAGGAGACCCGCAAATGGCTCTACGATCAAGGTACACACACATTTAATTTTTACAACAATTTTGTTTTAAAAAAAAATTTAAAAAAATAATTTTATCGTTTTTTTTACACGCTACGGTTGTGGACGCTGTAGTCTTTGATAAAATTCCCGGAAAATGGTAGTAATATTTCTGATAGTTCAGTGCGTTGTTTCGTATATATATTCGTCAGGGAATTTTTGCCCGGCTGTTAATCTAGTTAAGTTTATTACTCAAATGTGTATGTGTTTTTATTGGTCAAATCAAACTGAAATTAATGAGGGGAAAATGCGTAATTAGAGATTAGGAATCACTGAGCATCCTTGGGGGCGAACAACCACTCGCGCACCCCAATATTAGGAGGCCAGTTTTCAGGAGTAAACATTTTATCAGACTCATGAGCATAAGAACCAACACGTGCAAACAGGCTATTCTTACGGCCCTTTTTAGCAGAGTAAATCGACACAAATCTGACAGAGATTCCGTTCGATTCAATGGCGCTCTGGAGATCCTTGCTGTAGTCATCCAGTGTCTGATGTCGGGACGGATCCAAAGGGGGTATGCCATGTAGACAGTAGTCCTTTTTCACTTTCTCTTTGTCAGCTTTACTGGCGCGTTTAGCCCGCAATGTCGACATAACGATGTCCTCACTGCTTGCTGAACCGGAGTCCCGAGTACCGCGAACCACTTTTTTTCTTACGACGGTTGCCCAAGAGCTCCTCATGTCCGACGAATTGGGGTGGGGCTATCAAAACATGGGGGAGTGACAACAGTATCAGGGGTTGACATAGGGGACTGGGGGGTGCCAAGTGGAGGGAAACTTTCTGGGTCTTTGGCAGGCGTCGAAGCGGTCGATCGAAACCCGAAGGGTTGAGATGCTAATCGACCACTTTCGACGTTGCTCGAGGTAGGCGCAGCGGAGGTGGCGTACCGACATTTCGGCATAGGGACATTTCGGCATAGGACATTTCGGCATAAGACGTTTCGGCATAAGACCATTTCGGAATAGGGACATTTCGGCATACGGCCATTTCGGCATAAAATCTTCGAGTATATAATTAATGTCTAAAAAATTTATTAACCTATGAAATTAACCGAAACTTAGAAATTTATGAAACTAGCAACGCTAAAAATTCCAGAAACACAAAGGACCCAAGCAAATCTAAACCTCTAACAAAAACCGAAAACAATAACCTCAGGAAACTAAAAGCATAGGAAGCGCAGGAAAATACAAAAACATAAAAAATTGTATGAAAGCCTAAAACAACTTAAGAAAACCGGAGCAACCTCAATAGGCCCAAAAGGACCTAATAACACCTAAGAAAATCTAAGAAGGCTAAGAAAAACAAACAAGACTTTAGAAAACATAAGAGAACCTCACAAAATCTAAGTAAATTTAAGAAGTACCAAAATGACCTAAGAAAACCTAAGAAGCTCTAAGAAGACAAACATAATCTGCTAACACATGAAAAACCTAAGCAAATCTAAGCCGAACCTAAGAAGGGCTAAAAAAGCTAAAAAAACCAAACGGCTACCGATCACTTCGGCCGTTTTCATTTCGGCCGCGCTCATTTCGGCCAAAGTTTTTCGGCCGCCATTCACTTCGGGCGTGATTCACTTCGGCCGTCATTCATTTCGGCTGCCGATAACTTCGGCCACAGTACATTTCGGCCGACGCTCAGTTTGGTTTGATTTACAAGAAAACGTTACTTTCGATATAAGTTTGTCGGAAACTTGAAACCGTTGAATCAAAAAGTGATAGCAAACGGTCGCGTTCATATCATTTTGCACGCAATATGTGTGAGCAATTATCCCAGTGTTACGGTCACTATCATGTCTCCCTTTGATGAACCGAAGTCACGAAGCCTACAGGAAAAGTACTGATAGCCTAACCGTAAGACACCAAGAAACATAAAACATAAAAAGAAATCTCTATATTATCATGAATTACCTAAGGATAACCTAAGAATTTCAACGACAATAATAATAATCAAAGAAAATCTATGAAAAACCTAAGACACGATAACAAATCTAAGATAACCTAAGAAACCCAAAACCTTAGAAACCTAAGAAACCTAACAAAACCTAAGAAAACCTAATAAACATAAGAAACCTAAGAAACCTAAGAAACCTAAGAAACGTAAAACCCTAATAAACCTAAATACGTAAGAAAACCAAGAAACCAATGAAACCATAATAAACCTAAAAATCCTACAGGGGTGCCAAGCCAAGTTGGGGCAGTTGTGTAAAATTAAATTTAAAAATTTGCCGTACGCAGTTCTGTTTTCATTTATGCATTTTTTTAGCTAAACTTTTTCTTGTCGATCCAACAGTGTCAAAGTTGAAATCGTTTGGTGCGATAGTAAAGGGAGAGACTAGGATTTAAGGGAAGGGGGAGTGGTCATTTTTCGGAGGCTTATGACTGCTCCTCTGGAAAATACGCCAACTGATACTTTTATGTGGACATGTTTGAAACCTGTTGAGTGACCCAGAAGGTGTCCGTGTGGGGTCAACATAGGGACGTTATGCCATCATTGCTCGAGGTGACCTCGAAAAAATCTCATCTCCCATAGACTTGTATGTTAAAATGCACCTTCAGGAAAATGCGATTGCCTAGAGCACTGATTCCTTTAGACAAGATGTCAATGCTTAAACAAATTCTAGGAAGGTTCCGTTAGGCAAATGCGCTATCCACTAAAACTTTTCAGCCTCCTCCAATTTTTAAATAGTTGTCGAATAAACTTGATCATTTCTTAGTAAGCAGTGCCATTTTTGCACCAAAAATTAAATTATAAATTTGGATCCTGTGCCCTAACCCTCAGTTTTTTGCATGGAAACAAAATCACTGAAGCTGCTACATACCAAGAACTACCATGCAAACATTTGATAAAAATTTTCCACTTCACTGGTAGAAGTGGAGGAATTTTTTTAACTGCCCCAACTTGGCTTGGCAGGGCTGTAGATAACCCAAAAAGCGTGGGAAACCCAGGAAAACCTAAGATGGCCGAAATGTGCAGTTGCCGAAATGAGCGTTGGCCGAATTGAGTGTCGGCCGAAGTGAGCCACGGCCGAAATGAACGTTGGCCGAAGTGAACCTGTGCGGCCGAAATGTAACGCGGCCGAAGTGATCGGACGCGAAACCAAACAACCTAAGAAAAGCATACTGAACCTAAAGAGCCCCAGAAACTTGAAATGGCAACTACATTAAAAAGTTTGTTTAAAGATATTCTAATGAAATTATTGGATGAAATGTGCACCAAAAAAATGGTACTACGGGAAACAGAAACACATAGAAATGTCCATATTATGCCGAAATGTCCTTATGCCGAAATGTCCCCATGCCGAAATGTCCTTATGCCGAAATGTCTTATGCCGAAGTGTCCTATGCCGAAATGTCCCTATGCCGTCCGACCCGGACACGGCGGAGGTTGCTTTCAGTGTTTTGACTTCATTTTGCAAGACCTGCAGAGACCGGGCGAACTCATCGTACCTTTTCTGGCTCTCTAGTAGTTCTCTGATCTGGGCATCCCTTGAAGATAGCTCAGCCTTCAGTCGCTGGTTTTCTTCCATGAAGGGAGTGACAAGCGCGGAGACTTCAGTTTTCAGGCATTTAGTCACACGGGATTCCAGCTCAGAGGGATCAATGGCGTTCCTCTCAATATACTCCAGATCGTTAGCTATAGCCGGGATTAACTTTCGAATCAACGGGATGAGCTTTGCAAAAGACCACTGGTCCTTAGCCGTGCCATCAGGGAACAGTCTGGTGAGTTTTTCGACGTCGAAACCCTCGTAATCTCCAGGATCGTCAATGGCTGCCTTAGCCATGGTTATCCGATATGGATATACCATATCATCCCGAAAGACAGCTCGTTCTTGTTTCGCAAATATTATTATAGATTAATCGAAAATAACAATAGAATACCAATAAATAACAATAGAATAGTTTCAATCCAACATTCAAATTAGGTTTTCGAGAGATTAGATCGAACCAATCAAATACATAATTGGATATGTGTCGCCCAAACGACGAAATAATACTCAAATTACTCAAATTAATATATTTTTATTTACATTCGCTGATTTTTCGCTGTGTAATTTTATTTCGTGTAATTTGTGCAATCAAACTGTCAACACCGATTATCGTAGTGTTGTGGCACGTAGCCTCAGCCGGTTCCAACGGTGCACGATACATGCCATAGTTGTAAAAGATTGCAAATTAAAATCAAAAGACATTGGGTTATGTGATTGCCAGTATTTTTGTATAGGTTTTTCTATTAATGTTTCTGCTTGTGGATTTTTTAAATAATTTTTTCTCTGTATTATTTGTTTTTTGTATTATCTTAATTATTATAAATTATTTCTAGTAATAATAATAATTATGTGTTTCTAATGTGTTTTTGTATATTTCGTATTTATTTGTATTTCGTATTGATTACAACATAATTTCGATAAATAATAAATGCCATATAAGAATATTTTTATTTCGTAATAATTGTGGTTTAAATTAATGATTATAAATTAATAATGGCCTGATAATAATGTGTCTTATTTGTATTTTGTGTCAAATAAATTACTTCAATGGTAAATAATAACTGCCTGGTGTTGGGAGTTTTTTTTTTAAAGAAAATTGTCGGCTGTAGGGAAGCCGTTCGCCACGATGGAGCTGCTGAAAGCGCACCTGAAGGAGGTGTGGTTCACGCTGTATCCGCGCAGTAAGAACATGACGCACGGCGTCCGCGACTCCTCGGCCTTCGAGCACGTCTTCCTGGGGGAGATTAAGCGCAGTCAGCGCGTCATCGGCGGCCTGCACAACTGGATCGTGGCCTATCTGCTGGAGAAGGGCGGCGAGTGGAATTATGCCGGCTACACCGATAACATTAAGGAATTCCAGCCGGTAAATTAAATATAATTAAATTTAAATAGAATTACGGACCTAATAAAATTAAATTAAATTACCCGTTTTTAAATATAATTACGTACCTAATCAAATTAAATTAAATTACCCGTTTTTAAATATAATTACGTACCTAATCAAATTAAATTAAATTACCCGTTTTTAAATATAATTACGTACCTAATCAAATTAAATTAAATTACCCGTTTTTAAATATAATTATGTACCTAATAAAATTAAATGAAATTACCCTTTTTTAAATATAATTACGTACCTAATCAAATTAAATTAAATTACCCGTTTTAAATATAATTACGTACCTAATCAAATTAAATTAAATTACCCGTTTTTAAATATAATTACGTACCTAATAAAATTAAATTAAATTACCCGTTTTAAATATAATTACGTACCTAATCAAATTAAATTAAATTACCCGTTTTTAAATATAATTACGTACCTAATAAAATTAAATTAAATTACCCGTTTTAAATATAATTACGTACCTAATCAAATTAAATTAAATTACCCGTTTTTAAATATAATTACGTACCTAATCAAATTAAATTAAATTACCCGTTTTTAAATATAATTACGTACCTAATCAAATTAAATTAAATTACCCGTTTTTAAATATAATTACGTACCTAATAAAATTAAATTAAATTACCCGTTTTTAAATATAATTACGTACCTAATAAAATTTATAAAATTAAAATTACCCGTTTTTTTAAAATACAATTACATAACTAATAATTAAATACTTCTTATATTAAATTAATTAATACTGTAATTAATTATAATTAATAATATAATTTATGTATTTGAATTATATTCCAAACGGGACGAAATGTCCATGCAGAGAGAGAGAGATCTGTCTACACCCCGTTCACGCCAAGTTGGCGGTGTCCATTTAAAAAATGCCCTTGATCCGCTAGTCAACGAATTTAACTTTACTTAACTTCAGCGTGATTACTGAATCCATCCAACACCATTTGCAATTGAAGTTTCCAAGATTTGACCTATTTGTGAATTACAGGAATTTTAAAACTAGAGCAGACCACTTCAAAAATGCGCTGCATCCAAGCTATCGCGGTTTCGTCGTCCCTCCCATATAAAATTCGTTGTAAATTCCCGTTTATGCCGTAGTCCAAGGACGCTAAATCTCGTGACTTGGCCATGCATTGGCCCTTCGAGGTGCACTTCGCACCATTAACTAGGGGCCCTTCCTGGGACAGGGCACCGGTATAACGGTGGGCGTGGCCGAACTGTGAGACGATTTCCTCCGCGAGGTCACCATGCAGCCATGGGAAGTCCTCCTTGAATGTGCAACATAAAATACGATTCGCAAGGAGTTGGGAGTTAACATTTTCACTTTCATCCTGAGCACAAGCGAGCGACCTTTCATTGGAACACTTTTCAGTGAACACCATCCCTCTTTTCTGCGAGCGCTTTATTTTGGCGAAAAAAACGATTTTGCTCCCCTAGGCGGTTTGCAGGTTTGGTCTAGCCGGTGACTTTTAGTTTTTGTTTCTGAAGCACGCTCTTGAGGGTCCTGAAACTGACCTCAATTCCAAGCGCCCAAAGTCGTTCTTGCATTTCTGGCTGAATTAAATTGTGTTTTTACACTGCCATGACTTGTTTCATCGGTGCCTTCGCTTCGGAAGGCGTTTCTCGCGACACTGCAACCGAAAATCCATTGCGTTTATGCTCAATAAATGCGCCAAAGAAAATTACGCTATAACCTTTAAAAAGATTGGCAAAACATGCGCTGCACGATTCGGCAGAAAATTAAAATGAGACACCGCCAACTTGGCGTGAACGCGGTTATTTAGAGTGTTCTCCTATTAATAAACCGTGGAGCATCGTAGTGTAGTGGCATCGCTAAAGCCGAATTGACGCATGAAGCGTGCGTGTCTTCCATGACAATTGCTCCGTAGTACGGTACGGAGTCCGTACCGTAGTTTCCTACTGTTAAATTGTTAAATTTTGTTACTGTTACTGTTACATTGTTACTGTTAAATTTTTCGCGCAGTTTAATTCGTAAATTCTGCGTTATTTATTCAGAAATATTCAGGTTTTATATGAGTGTGATGCTCGAATTGTTTTTAAAAATATGTCCGATTAAAAATAAAACACATCAGTTCTCGATCCGTGTATTCTGTTTACGATTTTTAATAAATTTATTTTGTGTAGATTTATTTTGATTTATTTTGATAAATTATTATGCATCAATTTAATTATTTTTGTGCGGGTAAGTTAATTTTTTTATTTAACAAAAAGTGTACAATAAATAAGCCGGTAATTTATCCACAAGTTTGCACATTTTACATTAATTTTGTTTTCAGGGCCGATTCATCTTCGGCGCGAAATTCCGCGGCTACAAGAACTACTGGAAAAATCCTATGAGCTCTTTCATTTTCGGTAAGTGCCTCTCTGTAAACTCCGTAAAATCTCGAAACTAATTTATTGGTTTTTTATTTATTAATTTGATTTTTAATTTTTATCTGTAAATTATTTGAATAATTTTTTTATCAGTTAATTTTTGGTTTTTTATTTAACAGATTTTTATTTTGTTTTTTTTTTGCAGGTTCGTCGGTGGAGTTCGATTTCGCTGCGTACTCCATCTGCTACATTATGAAGCCGGGGAAGAACTGCGCGTTCAAAATCCACAATAAGAAATTATCCATTAACACGCTGAATTTCCTAAAAGGCTACAATTATATCGACACGGCGTACCCGGTCGTTTGATCTCATCCGAGAAGGTGGATGTCCCGCGCGTCATTTGACTGTGATACACGCGATTACACATAAATACCCGAATAATTCCGCATTTTTGTTTTTTTTTAACAGCGATCGCAAATGCGAATTTTGGGAATTTTTATTGTGTTTTTTTATTTGTACAATATTTATTCGGAAATCAATGGGAAATAAAAAATTAATAAATATCCATCGATTATTCATCGCGATTATTCAGCGGGATTCATCGTTTCAGCAGAAGAAATTTCGTCGAAATTTATAAACGAAAATGATTGGGAGAATAATGATCAAATATCCCAAAATTCGTCAAAATTTATGGGGAGAAAATATTTATCACATTTAAATAAAATTTAATTTAATCGCATTTCGGGATGTTTTTATTTGTGTTTTTATTTGAACATTATTCATCCAGTAATCAATGGGAAAATTTGGTCAAAAATTCAGAACTAAAATCTTCATAAATATTCATCGATTGTCCATAAAAAAATAATAATAATCTGCTGGTAACAAAAATAAACAAATATTCAACAGAAAACAATTCATCGAAAATTCACAACTCAAATGCACTGCAAATAAATAGAAAACCTCCGAATTTTTAGAAAGTTAATATTAACTTCAAAAATATTCAGCCATATTAAATAGCTGCCTATCGAGCATCACACTCAGAAATTTATGCGATTTTTTTGGATATTATTTACATACAGTTGGCGAATTTATTTGTAGTTAATGAACAGAAATTTAGAGCAAATTAAATTATTAACAATTTTCCGAAGCTTTAAGAAAACACGAAAGGTCAGCGGGTGTTAAATACCGCCCGTCATTGGCGGTTGGATTCATTAGCGGGATCATTAGCGCGGGCTGATCGCATTAAGTTTCATTAATCATCCCGCCACAATGGAAAATACAACCGGCACCGGAAAATCCCATTCCGTGCGGCGCTCGCCGGGGATTTCACATGTCCACTGATAACAACAGTTTATGTATCCAATTTGTTTGGCGCTTTAACCAGATTGTCGCCGGGATTGTGCGCGTATACACGTAATGCTTTAATTGCTGCGCACATGTGAATTAAAATCGGAGAAAAATAAATCGGAATTTGAATTCAACGGCACGCGTTGCTGCAGTGAGAGTGGCGGAAGTGTCTCGGATGGAGAATATATAAAGCCGGAATGGGACGTAATGGATGCATCCGGATCGGAGGAAAATCAGGAAAAAATGCGCATATTGCGTCTTATCTTTGACGTTAATCGCTATTAAGAAAAGTGTCACAATAAATTCAATTTATAATTAAACTAATACAAATGAATAAAAAATATAATGATAGAAATTTTGAAAAATTAATACATAATAACGAATCAAGTTAAATTATGTCAGGGCGGGCTTATGATTCAGCCCTTCTCTCATTGGTTGGTTTTGGGTTTTTTCCTGTCTGGGCATTTGCATGCGTTTTGATGGCTCTGTAAGGCAGCTGCGCTGCCTACAGAGACCAGTTGGTTTTTGGCTTGCGCGCAAGCGCGGTGTGTGTTCAGATTTCGGCATTAAAGCCTACATCCGGGTTCGTTTTGCTCCTCCGTCGATGGACGATGCGCGCTTAACCAGCGCCATCTGATATGGTAGCAGCTCACGGAGACGTTCGTGTGTTGCACAGCGGGCTTGCCCCGCTCACGGGCCACCTCTGAGTTGTGGACCAGATCGCGTGATCGCGCCCTGTGCCACCCCCGGGTACGGAGCTCACCCGCTCCTCCGGATTTCCCGTCAGTCGCCGGAGCTGTGCCGTCACTCCCGCAGAACGCGGAGGAAACTGCCTCTCCCAGAAGGGGATGGAGATGTCGCCAAGCCAGAAGTGCAGCGATGGACGGACAAACCCACAGCCACACCGTACCGATGACGGATGCCGACAGTGGACGCAACCCGGACCAGCAGGAAACCTGCGGACCCTTCACCACCACCAACAGCCATGCCAACCCCGATCCCCACGGCCGGATCGACCACCATCATCACGCCGAGAAATTCCCCCCCACCAAAACCCTGCCCGTCCTACCTGGGACAACAACCTTTCCCCCGGCGGAGCAGCTGATTTTCCCTACCCGGAGCAGCGTATTTTTGTGTTTGCAGGGTCATGGCCGTACCTGTGCCCCAAACCCTGCCCGATTTTCCCCAGACCATGACCTTTCCCCAGACGGATAAAATGCGGAATCTACCGATTTCCGCATCCGACCCTGGATTCTGGCGCGACAGTGCGTTGACCCAGACACTGGACCGCATGAAGCCGAACCAGGACCAGACCGACCGAACCCGAGCCAAACCGGCCCAGAAACATTCCTGAGCCGAACCGGATCCGAGCCGCCCAACCCGGGACTGAGCCGGACCAAACCTGACTGAACCAGATCCCATACCGGACCACGTGAGCCGACCGAACTGGAACCGAGCCACCCGGTAGTACAGTCTATTAGACATAGTACAGGGACCGTACCGGTCCCTGTATCCACTGTTCTTTTTACGGCGCATCACGCCATTTACCTGCACTTCGCAGGAGCTCAGTGTTAGACCGTACAGGGATGTCAGGGCGGGCTTATGATTCAGCCCTTCTCTCATTGGTTGGTTTTGGGTTTTTTCCTGTCTGGGCATTTGCATGCGTTTTGATGGCTCTGTAAGGCAGCTGCGCTGCCTACAGAGACCAGTTGGTTTTTGGCTTGCGCGCAAGCGCGGTGTGTGTTCAGATTTCGGCATTAAAGCCTACATCCGGGTTCGTTTTGCTCCTCCGTCGATGGACGATGCGCGCTTAACCAGCGCCATCTGATAATTACGATCGAAATAAAAATAATTTCAGATTATATAACGAATAAAATAAATAAAATACAGGAAAAATTAATATAGCCTGATCAAACAAGCAGTTAAAATAAATTCTGACTAAATAAAAAATAAACAGAATACAAAAAAGAAATTACAATAAAATACCTGACAAACAACAAAAATGGGACAAATGCTGTTTTTTGGCACTTCCCAGTCAGCACCAGTCACCAGTGGTATTTCGCATGCGGATGTTATTCAACCAAGGTGTGTACTGTAGATTTACACGCTGCACAAATCGGGATCATGATACAATTTCGTACACAAAATGTCTCCTTCGGTGAAAATGACTCTGCGTCTGTGTAAACAAACAAATGTTGTGTAATGCATTACCAGTGTGTACGGGAACAGACTGCGTCGTACCGGGTGACGGTAATTTGCATGTGATTTCGGTCGCTTATACGTTTGCGGCTATTTGTGGTACCGCGTAAACCTTTACGCTACCCGCTAGCGTAATATTACAGAATAAAATCTACCATTATTCGTTTGTATTTCAAATACCACTAACCGGTGTACAATACATCGTCATTATGTTGATGTGTACAGCAGCGGGAACACGATAACATTCAATCACACGCATCCCGAATGTGCAGCTGTATATTATACAGCGCCGCTAAACCGCGTTTAATGCGCACCATATATATGTACGTGCGTATACGTACGTTATGCGAAGCATGTATAAGAAATATTTTTACTGATTATTTACACAAACGTATGTAAGTGGATAGATGTGTGTGCTATGCATAAGGTCACAGAGATACGTTTGTACTTAAAATAAATTTTTACTGTACATGACAGTACCCGCATACATATACGCAAACACATACGTATATATATTATATAGATATGTATATACGCACGTACGTTATACGTATATATACGTTTATTAAATTTTATATGTATATATGCGAGTACATATACGAGGCATATCTATATATGTACATGTATGTGTTTATGCGATAAGAAATTGTATATGTAATACGTATAATATATTTTATATATATGTATACGTTTATACATATGTACGTATACGTGTATGCATGCGTATGTGTACGTCAGCTACACCAGGATTTCTGCACCGGCCGATCCTCTTCCGGGCACACGTACATATTGCATCAAACAGGACTTCTCCCTGATCGGCTACAACACGCCAAACAGCATAAACACTTAGCGCACACTCAGCTGACTGCCGCACATGTACCGCGCTTACCCGGATTCGCATTACCGCTGACTCTTTTCATTCCCGCATCCACTCGCAACACCAGCACACAGATCCACTATTATCCCGATCGCGCACAGTCACAGTATCGTCTCGGCCGCGCGGTGTCATTGTATCGCTGTAATTGGCCGCCGGCTGTTTTTTATCATAATACACTAAACAGCGCCCGGCTCTCATTGACATGACCTTTATATAGAGACGTATACAGCATTAGCGTGCATATATCAGATAATACGGCTGTTCGGTTAATGTTTCCGCGGAGGGATTAGGAGCCCCGGCATTTATCCATTACGGCTATGCGAGCTGGATCATCGGATGCGCGATGCGCTGCAGCAGATAAGATGCGCTAATCTCTCCTTTATACCACTTCCGCTCGGTTCATCCTCCCGTGTTGCAGAAATGTTTTTCTTGCTGCTGGATATCTCGGTCGATATTTTATTGAATTTTTTCGCGGATGATTTTTGTTTTCAATTTGCGCCTCGATTTTTATTTATATTTTAACGGCCGCTTTTAAATTATTTTTTGTGGCCGAGTTTTAATAGTTATTTGTGAAATATTTTTATTTGCATTTTGCGCCTCGGTTTTTTATTTTGTTTTTTCGGCCGATTTTTAATTTCTACTTACGCTTACTTTCAAGTTTTTTAAATTGCGGATTTTTATTTTTACGGCCGATTTTTTTATTCTATTTTGCGGCCGATTTTTAATTTCATCCTGCGACATTATTTTAATTGCATTGTATCAAGCATTCACCTTTGCCATTTTTCTAAGCCGGACGTTTCCGGCACGCTGCATCTGAATAATTCACAATTTGGCAAATCGAGGAATCCCGGCACAATGCCGGTCACATGCCTGACGGCATATCGCGCACGCTGTTATAAATAATTACCTTGTTGTTGACAATCTTGCCGGTATCCTGATTATCCCGGTATAAAAGCGCGTTGGATATAATATGCGTCAATAAATGATGCTGCGATTCCTCTATCTCGTGGTCGCCTGGACGACCACCGCCCGGGCGGCGGAAGCGCCGTGGTCCGGGGAGACGGTGCCGAAGAGTGTCCACTATCCGGGTGATGTGTTGTTGGGCGGATTATTCGCGCTGCACGCCGAGTATAATGTCAGCAGCGGCCAGTGCCGGAAGCTGCAGGAAGCCGACGGTGTCGTGCCGCTGGAGGCCACGCTGTACTATCTGCAGGAGATTAATCGCGCCGGGATATTGCCCTTTACGCTGGGACTCTTAGCCTTCGATACAGTGAGTTATATAAATTAAATTAGTATTAAACAAGATTTTGTTACTGTGATTAACTGTTTTTGTTCTATGTTCTGTGTATCGCACCTGTATTTTATGAAATAAAATCCGAACCGTATAAAATATTTTAAAAATATTTATCTACATGATCAACATCACAAAATTAACTTTTTAAATAAAGTTACAATTAAAGCAGTAAAATAAATAGTGAATAAAACCTCAATATTTTTTTTAAAAATAAACTGCATATTAATTCACAAGCGTATATTAATTATAAATTAAATAAAGTACAAACATTTATATAGCAATGCATTTTTAAATAATTATAAAAATATCTCGATACGGTTTATAGAAAAATTATTAAGGAATATGCCGCTTTAATTTCTGGCTCGCTTGTCATAATGCCGTGGATGGAAAATGCCTGGTTCTTGAAAGTAGAAAGCACCGGAAATCAAATCATTAGCAAATAGATTTACGTGTCAAAATGCTGCGCCTTTATTTGCTCATATTGTTATCCCGAACCGGGATATGTCTGAACTGCCAATATCGCCGTATTGCATATTATGTCATAAAGCCAATATGCCGGCGTTTAAAACGTGACGCGTGTAACTCGATACAGCCGGCATAAAAAGACCCCCCAATAAAAAAGTTCATCCCGTTAATTTCCTTCAACAACTCCATATTTCTTTCCCCAACATGGTTAATATATCAAGTTAACGGGGAATCGATATACAAAGTATAGCAGCCCGGTTATAATTAGACGCGGAAACGATGCAGCGACGGAGAAACGGAAAAGCCATGAATGTCATGTTGTATGGTGATAAAGAGGCGCTTGACATTACAGTGTGACTCGCACTCCTTCGCCCTGGAACAAGCCCTCCACTTCATCCACTCGCACACGCGCCGCGACGACGCCGGCAGCAGCGGTGCCGCCACGAAAGACTTGACGTGCGAGGAGCCGGCACACCGGATGGACCACGCGGACGGCGGTCACTTTAATGTGGAGCGGCTAGCCGGGATCATCACCGGGCTGCCCAGCTCCGTGACGGTGTCGCTGGCGCAGCTGTTGCGTCTCTTCCGGATGCCGCAAGTGAGGGCATTTCTTGCATATATACCTGGTTAATCTTGCCGATAGTCGTATAATATAAACAGAGTACAAGCCTGTCCCGTAATTTCTACCGCATTATCACAGCGACAAATAGAAATATCGAATTAGAAACTTTCGAAATAAAGGATAAATTTATATACTAACTTTTCTCCGTTAAATTTTAAACTTAATACTAACTTTTCCTATTCATAAAGATATATATAAAGGCATAAAGGTGTAAACATATATATTTCAATATACAGCATATGGCTGACCTTATTTAATTAAGCGTGCTTTCTTTTACCAGATTAAGCCTTCCGACAATCGTGAATATATAAACACGCTGCCGATTATATAATGATGACCTTCTTACTTAATTAAAGGTGCTTTCCTGTACCTGGTTAATCCTGCCGGTAGTCGCGGAACATACATCCTTACATAAGGCAGCCCTTCTTATTTAATTAAGCGTGCTGCTGTTTATTATCTTGTAATTATTTATTATGAAATATAAATGCCGCTTGAATTGGACCGCGTATGTAATTTAATTGAAACTGCGGAGAACCGATTAACGCGTGGGGAATTCGATACTGCGTCGGTTAAACATGATTACAGGCTCCGTTTCGGTCGCGCCGATTAATTCTCTTTTTCCCAGGGATATTTCGATTTATCGGTATTTAATTAAAGTGACGCACCGTGCACGCAGACCGTTTAATGCGTTATATAATTTTGACCGGCTTTGAAAAAAAGCGGATAAAAATTCAACCATTAATTATCTAGGCAGCGGAAGTGCTGGAAAACAAGCTCCCAGGAAGGCATAACACAGAAAAACCTATAAATAACCGTTTATAGTATTATAGCTAGCATTAGACGCTTTTATAACAGCTTCGGGAGATTTTATTGGAAAGCGTTTTTGAGCCAGATTATTATGAATGAAAGTACGCTGAATACGGTACATATATCTATGCACAGCGTGGGTGTTGTATTGAGTACTTGATGCCGGGTTTTTGTTGAGTGTCGGTGTCAGCCTGTTTTAATGAGGTGCTGATAATTGGATGTATGTGTACATTTCTTGCCTTGCAGATTAGTTTTATGTCGACCAGTCCCCTGCTGAGCGACAGGATCCGCTATGATTACTTCTTCCGCACGGTGCCCAGCGACGTCAATCAAGTCCGCGCCATCATCGCGCTCCTCAAGTCAGTAAATAGATACATATATATAATCCTTGTACGCTGCTCTATCAAGCATTAATCCGGCCGGTAAAAATGCTTCCTGAAAATTCCCGAAATGACGTACAAACAGCGAAAGTGCACCGGCAGATACGCTAAGCATAATCAGCTACAAACTAACCACGTGAACGTGATTAAGGCAATTCGCGTTTGAAAGATGGTTAAAGATCAAATCAATATACACGATAAGTTCAGCAGTCACGAAGCTTAACCGGTAAAGGTCAAACTGCTCCACACTAATTGCTCAATCAGCGGGTTAGTCCGTACCGATTACGCAATATATATTTTTGCCGGTAAAGTATCGATTAATGCAACCGCGCGTATTTAATACAAGTGGCCGGCAATTTACGGCAGCCGTAGGAATGAAGCAGCGTACGATTTAATAGGTTCTACTCGTGGCATCATCTTTCCATCGTCTACTCGGACGACGAGTACGGGAACCGCGGACTGCATGAGCTAGAACAGCTGGCCAGTAATCACAGTCTGTGCATCGCGAATAAACTGAAAATGCCCACGGTTTCCGAGTACGAACGGCTGTACACGTCGCTGGCGTTATTTGATGTGCCTTATGAGCATATTCTTAAACAACTTCTCAACACCGACACCAACAGTAAGAAAACACATTAAAAATGTTTTTCTAAATATTATTATGTAAATTTATAAGCATTTTTACTGAGATCATAAAATAAAATTATGGAAGCCATTTTGCAAAAATAAAATACTATTAATAAAAATAATTTCAAATAAAACATTATTTAAAGTATTTTTGAATGTTATAATATTAAAATACAACATCATTATTTTTTCCAAAAAACGTTTAAAAAGTTTAATCAGTTTTATGTTGGTTTTTATATGCGATTGAGATTAATTCAGTGGTGGATTTTTTGCTGGGAAGTTTCCAAGGTGAATGAATTGTAGTTGTGGTGATCTTCGCTGATTACAAATCGGCGTACATGCTGTTCGAGACGGTGCACCGGCTGAAGCCCTCACGGGATTTCGTCTGGATTGGCTCGGTGAGCGCAGACATGCGTGTGTAATCCGTCCGTATAAAATATTTTCGCAATCGTATGGTCAACGCTGTAATTGCCTGCAGGACGCCTGGGGAGGCCGGGAAGAAGTTATCAATGGTACGTTATCTGGATACACACCCACTATTAAGTATTCCTAGAATTTATACAGTGACTGATTAATTAATACTCCAACGGCAAAAACAGCGCTCAACATAATTCATTACATGATTGGATTATATTATTGATTTTTCCTTGTTAAATTACTTAATTAAATATGTAAGCTGGCGTGTTGACGTAGTGATTTTAGAATTTAAGAAAAAAAATAAAACATTTATTGATGGAAGGATATTTTAATCGATAAAGCGCTGAGGTGGGGATTTCCGGCGGAAGTGCGATGTGTCCCCATTAGCCCGGTCCCTCTTAGCTTAATGGCGCTGTAGTGAAGCGTATCCGATTCCCTGAATGAATCAAGCGAGTGTAACGCGGCTATTTGGCGTTTCTGCGCAGATCACCCGGAAGTCAGCGAAGGCGCCATTACCGTCCAGCTGAACACCCGCGAACTGCACGCTTTCTCGCAGCACTACAGCGGCCTGCGCCCCACCAGCGCCACCTGTGCACGCAACCCCTTTTTCTGCCGGTTATGGCAGCAGTGTAGCCAGGCCGGTCGCCGGCGCCGCCACCCGCGGGAGACGGCGGCGGAGTGTGGGATGCTGTTTGGCGGACGCGGCCGCAGTGGTGCGGCCAACCACCCCGGGGTGGCGTCGGTGCGGAGTAGCGGACCGGTGGCGCACGTGGATTCCATTAGGTAAATTTTGGTGACCTTCCTTTACATATATGATACATATTATACAGAATTTTTGGTGACCTTGACATATATGACAATATTTACGAATATATATGCACGCCATATATATTCGGTGACCTTTTGTGTGTTTACAGTGTAGAATGCGTGAACTAAGCGTATGATATGTTTTATATAAAAGTGCGGTGACCTTTCATATTTGCTGCATATAAAAAATATGTATAAAATGAAAATACAACGTGTAAAATATTTGATAATATATAAGACGCCGGTGACCTTGTTATATGAACTGTACATTAACATATATACGCAGGTATATACTTGTATAATAAGAAACTTATCATGTACACGCGTGTATATATTTTTGTACGCACCAGTATATATTTCTATAATTTCTTTAAACGCTTATAGAAAATATATAGATGATATGTGTGCATATAAAATATAAAAATGTATACGCGCGTATAGAAAGAATATGCATAGATAAAAATCCCAGCATTTTGCAAAATGACCGGAAATGGTTTTGGCATGCGAAAACGGAACGGGGTGCTGTGAATGAACCGGCGGTGGCTTGTGTATAGGGAACGCAGCGGACACGTGCACGATTCCGACCAGTGGCAGTCGGCGATGCATTACATTGAGAGTCTTCGGTAATTGACTGTCCTATCCATTTCTGTCTCTATGTATCGTAGTCTGAGTTATTAACCCCATAAATCCGGGGTGTCGCTCGTTAATGGCTTTTTTGCATATACGGCATGTACAACCTCCCAGCATGCTGTAATAGCCGCGTTGTCGCATGATATATGACTGACAATCTGCATGCCGTGACGTCAACCCCCTATACCATCCAATTATCCCGCGACAGCATCCCCGGAAATGATACTGTGTTTTATAGACAAGCATGCGGCATTATTGTGTAATATAGATAATAGATAATGTAACCGGTGGCGTTGACTGTTTAATCCCGGTTGCTGACGATGGTTACATCTGTGCGTGTGTTGTTAGGGACGCCGTGTATGCCTACGCGTACGCCCTCAAGGTAAGCCCAGGGATTACATTGTCAGCTGTTGTCTGTGTTCTGTGGGATAAATGCCGGTCTTCCTTCGCGACAGGACATGCACCGCGTCAAGTGCGGCGTCAACGCCTCGGGACTGTGCCCGGCGATGCGGCTGATCCAGGGCGCCGATGTTAAGCTCCATCTGACAAATGTCAGCTTCACCGGTAAGCCCTACGTGCCGGCATTACACCGGCTTCGCGGCACCCCCGCGCCTTATTTTTCAAAGTTTTTGTAGGGTTGATAATCGAACGGCTTTGAACCGTTTTTGATGAGATTTAAATAAAATCCGAAATCAGCAAAGGTTTTCTAACAATTAAATGAGGATTTAATTTTCTAATTATTTGATTCGAAATGTTTGAAAAGGGATCTCCTCTCGGCACTGACCTTTTATATATATAAAATTATTTTTTTAAACTAAATGTTTTAAATTTTTTAATTTTTTTATTACGTATTTTTTATTTCGTATTTTATTTAACATTTATACAGTATAGATTGGATTTGTTTATTAATTTCTATATGACTTTATTTTAAAAGATTTTCTAAAAATTAGATAATTAGGCCCGCACGTTTTCCCGAAGAAAATGCCGGTAATTAAGCTGTCATCCAGCGATACGTAACGGTCACGTGCCTGCCGGCTGCACTTCCGGCTTGCGCTCCCACGTCCTTGCTCTTTGTTGCGTGTGTTATACAATGTACTCTGTATATGCAATTGCCTTTGTGACAGAGCCGGGCGGATCGAGTTTCCGTTTCTACCACGGATCGGAAGGGCAGCCGCGCTACACGATAATGAACCTACAGAGCCTGCCCAGCGCCGGCCGCCAGCCAGCAGCAACCGGCCACGCAGCGGGCTATCAGTGGAAGGAAGTCGGCAAATACTCGCGTAGGTGTCTCCGGTTGCAGGGAATCTCTTACGCCGAATTGTTGTCAATGTACTTTTATCTGCGTTATAGTGGATGAAGAGCGGGGATCAACGCTGATACTGAATAGAAGCGCGGCACAGTTCAAGCACTACCAGAATGAATTCCCCTCGCAACTTCCCTGGTACTGCTTTTACAGATATTAAAACTAACTGGTACTGCTTTTAAATTTTATATCAAATACATGTCGATATATATAAAAATACATATATGGTAACAACGATAATATTCTATTTAATTTATTAGAAACACATAGTAATAATCATTTAACCAATTAAATCTATATATGTTAAATCTCTACATACGTAATATATAAACTTATTTTAATTTAATATCATTATAATATTTTTTGACGTTTATATATTTTTAATAAAAATTTACTAAACAGTATTAATTAATGATGTATTTTTACAGCAAAACCTGCGATATTGCTGGTAAGGTGGTTTAATTACCGGCAAATGCTCTTTGCGTATATAAAGAAATATTTTTCCTTCCAACAGCTAATGAAGTCCGCATCGGCCGCGGTGACGCGTGCTGCTCCAAATGTCTGCGTTGTGAATTATGGCAGGTCAGTTGAAAGATTTCCTAGCCCTTTCATCCAAGGATTATTTTTCTTGGATTTTGTTAAAAATAAAAATTAAAACAATAATAATTCGGTGAACTGTGAATTTTAGTATCCGCATGAGAAGACGTGCCGCAACTGCCCGGAAGGTCACCTGGTCAACCTGACCTTTTTATCCGTCCACCGCAACCGCAGCCTATTCGACGAGAGTGCCTGCGCCCCGGTGGAGGCCGTCTTCCTGGATTACGACTCGTTGTACGCCGCCCCGGTGCTGGCCGTCAGCATTGCCGGCTTAATCGGGACGTGCATCTGCGCCTGTGTCCTCCTGGCGCACCACATGACGCCTATCGTCAAGGCCGCCGGACGCGAACACCTCGGTAATTACTGCGCATATTACCATCTACTTGCATTATAAATACTCGTTATCCTCCTTATCGAAATAAATTATCAGACGACTGTTTAATTAAAACAAAGCATTGCGATGGCCAATTATCGGTGTTCTGATTGTCAAAGTGAAGAAACCCAACCTGCGTATTTCTGTAGGTACCATCTACGTGCATAATAAATATCTTTTTATTATCGGAAATAATTTATTTGACGACTGTCTGATTAAAACAAAGCATTGTGATGGCTGGCATTCGGTATTCTGAATGTCAGAGTGAAGAAACCCAACCTGTGTGTAGGTGTGCTGTTCGGGGCGCTGCTGGGCAGTTACGCCATGAACTTCATCATCCTGCACCGGCCGACGGCGTGGTCCTGCGTGATGGTCCGTTTTCTGGGCGTCCTGTACGCGCTGTGCAACAGCGCCCTTCTCATAAAAATCGCCCGTATATACCGCATCTTCAACACCCAGGAGTGCCACAAGACGCAAAAGCTCAAGTACATCTCGCCGCGGTCCCAACTGGCTCTCACCGGCATGTTCGTTTTCATCGAAGTGGTACGTATAGTATGTAATCAAAATATATTAAAAAATAGTATTACTTATTATAAAATTAGTAATGCTAAATAAAAAAATTGTAATAAAGACAGTGCCTTCTTTCTTTTGCTAGGTGATTATCGCAGTATGGACTTGTTTTGAGCCACCGGCCGTCCTGGCCGTGTACCCCACCCGCTACACCCGCGAACTGGTCTGCTCCGATCTGCACGACCTCAAACTGCTGTCCGGTCTGTGCTATCCGCTGATGCTGCTCTTCCCCATGGCGTATCTGGCGTTTCGGACGCGCACCTGCCCGGCGGCCTTCTCCGAGGCAAAATACACCGGCTACGGTATCTACCTGACCTTTATCAACGTCCTGACCTTTGTGCTGATTTATATTGGGAACAACGCCATTCCCATCCGCGTCATCACCGTGTGTATCGGGCTGTGTTTGAACGCCAGTGTCATACTGGTTACGACATTTGTCACCAAAGGTACGTCAACGAATTATTGGTTCTGGTCTGGTGAAATTAAGTTGTAACCAACGGTGTGCCAATATATTCTTGCTGGGAAGACAGTATGTTTTGTCGTCCGTGGTACATCAACAATTTAATTTTGCTAATGAAGGTCTCAAATTAATTGTCACCAATGGTACATCAACGACTTCCTTTGGGTGACATTGATAATTTTTGCCATGAATCCGTGGTGTATCGATACTCAGCTGATCGACAGTATTTGATTTTTGCTACCAAGGGTACTGCTTTAGGGGCAATAACAAGAATTTAACAAGAATTCATCCCACGTTAATTGGGACAAATTCTTCATTCGATCATATTTGTTGAGCGAAGCTCGCCTTGTACATATTGAAAAATAAATTTAAAAAAGAATTTAACTTGTCAACAAGCGCTCGTAAACGATTCGCTGTTGATCACTTTGATTTTTGTCGCCAAGAGAACAATTAAAAATTTGTTTCTGGTGACAGTATTATTAATGTCACCGAGCGCCAAGGGTACACCGATGATTCGCAGTAATGATGAATCCACGCACAGATAACCAAAGCATATTCTTTGCAGTGTATATCATTTTATTTCGACCGTACAAGAACTCCAAAGAGCGGATTATGGGCAACGGCCGGTTATCGACGGGACGGCATACGTACTCCGCCGGGATGAACTCCATCACGAATCTCCCGACGTGTTCGGCCTGCCGGAGTCTCTTAAGTAAAACCGGTATTTTCCAATTTTGCTCAAACTTCTTGTAATGTTGATAATATTTTTCCAGATGCGCCAAGTAATGCGGTGTCCTCGCGGCATCAGTCCAACCCGGAACTGTCGGCGCCTTTATCCCACAACGACATCCTCAAAGCGTTGGAGATGGGCGACGATACCAATAAACCGCGCAGCCGCACCAACACCATCGAACGCGATGCTCATACTGTTATTTGATAAAGCTCCCGGTTTTTATTTACAGAGTGTTTTCTATTTGTGTGTATTCCTTTCCCTTGACATTTCAGATATATTATTTTGATTTCTTTTCATCGCTCTTTTCCTGTGATATTTCCTACGCTCCAATACAGAGAATGTTTTTTGCTTAACGCATTTTTATCTACAGCGCTTCTACAGAATGTCATTATGAAATCCAAATAAGGAAAGAATAACGACAAAACTGACATTTCGTAACGCTTCTCTGTAGTTTTAGCTTGAAAGCGCAGGATTTGGCTCAAAGTACGCGAGGTTGAATCTCATTATCTCATGTTTTGGAGACCTTCCCGTGAACTTTGTATGTTAAGCTGCGGGACGTTCCCTGAAAAATCATTCTGTTCGAATCTAAAATATTTTGTAAAAATCTAGATTATCAAGGATGTCACACGCAGCACTGGTCAGACAGGTTAAGGGGGCCGCTAGCAGAAGAAAGCGGGTTTGGGAAAACGGGAATGGTTTGAAAACGATGACCAGAAATGTGTTTTCACTACTTTGGTTGGACTCAGAGTAGAATTTAACTAAAGAATGCTACGACGCGAGCTTCCCTGGCCTCTATCTACCTCTGTAGACCGAGCTATTCATCAAACAAGGAAAAAACTTAAAGCCAAAAGCGATGCCTTTTCGACCAGCTGTCCCGCGACGAAGCTTCACGCCGCCAGATGACATTGCGTCGAATGTCTACGGCCGAAAGTCCTGCGATTAATTGTGTTCGGCGAAATGTCGCGGTGCCATGAAAGTAGACCTCGTTGCTAAAAACTGCCAGTCGACGATAACACTGACAAATTTATTTTGCGAGTTCTGTTTTATCCATTACCACTGTATTTTTACTCCTTGATTTGATTTTACTTCCTAATTCACTGTTTTGAAAAATTAAAATTGTTAGAGAACTTGCCAGTGGCGACTGTACTGAAACCCGAACAGACCGTGTGCTGCAAATCCATGCATTTTTAGAGCTCGATACATGGCGTCAGTGGCGAGATTCTTTAAAAATGTTACTCTTTCCAAACAGTGAATTAGGAAGCAAAATCAAATCAAGGAGTAAAACTACAGTGGTAATGGATATTACAGAACTCACAAAATAAATTTATCAGTGTAATCTGTAACAACTTTACAGGCTGTACAGCAATACGGCAGTGGCAATACATGCAATGATGTCAACCATTAAAATTAATTATGTCTGGCCACGCCCACTGGACCATTGCCGATGAAATCATGAAAGCATTTTTTTAAGTGTTTCCCAAACCTATTCTGTCTTTAAACAAAAAATGAGATTTTTCCGAGGGGAGAGGTGGTGACCGAGCCCTGGTCAGTACTCTGTACATAATGATACTTCTTAAAGGGTAAAACACTCTTGGAAGAGGACAAAGGTCAGGGTGCATTGTAAATAGGATGAGTGCTCTCTGAGTCTTTTTAGCAATAAGCCGAACGCCTAGTTCAGCAATATAATATGGTAATTTGCACCGAGCGCGAAGCGCGAGGTGCTGCAATAAGTCTTCGTCAAGAGCATAAAATTTGTCTGGCGCCACCAAGAGCGTACGTCACGCTTTTCAAATTCCACAATCCCAGTACCATTTCCCAGTGGTATTGGCGCTCGCGCTCCTGCAATAATGTGGTTCGCAACCACCGCTAGTAGTTATAATAATGCAACTAATAATAGTAATAATAACGCAATCAAGTACAACAAACAGCTAAGTTTCGTACAGCACCACAACAGTTGCCTACGGCCAGTGCTGCGGTGCTGTACGAAATTTGGCAGGTTTTGTACTGGCATTGGTACATGAACAGTAATTGTCATGGAGAAGGGAAGGCGCCAAAAGTGCATGGTCCGTTAATGAAGTATTCTTCGTCTGAAAAGCATATGAAACAGCCAAGTAAACGTTCTTACCCTTTAAAATTTATCTTATCTTTGACGGCCTGACTAGTGAGTGACGGTAATGGTACTGTGTCAAGTAATGACTCATTCACGGCAAATAAAACGTAGCCTGATTTGCTCGGTAATCTCCTTATATGTTATCAAAGTACATAATATGGAGATGATCGCAGAATGATCCATGCATATTGTACTGCAAAGACAATGAGCTGGAGTGATATGGAAACCGCACAGTTGCGACTTGATGCAGTTTCTTATATAAAGATCTAGTTGTCAGTTGATGCGGTATCTAATTGTATTCTTACGTCTTTCCTTCACAGCTGCTAGGTCGGCATAGTCAATTTTCTTATGCTGCTTATTACGGTCTCTGCTAATTTACGACACTACTGCGCTGCGATAGACATAATCTGCCCAAAATGAGTATTAGCGACGGCTTCTATGGCCAATGGGAAGATCGTAAAAACTGTGGCTGCGGAACAGGTAACTTTGTTGTTATCCGAGCCGCGTGGATCAATGTGCCGATGATGGATCAAACGGCTAAAGCCTGGGCTAACACGGGACGCTGGTTCGTCGGGATTCTTACACTGGGCATATCGGAAGCGGTCACCGGTGGCAATGGCGACATCACGCACGAAGCCATAGAGTGCAAGTACCGCTGCAAGAAATGCGGCCATTATGGTCACTACACATTTGATTTTAACGTTACGGGTAAGTGGAGTGTCCAGGGCGTCTTCCAGTTACTTGTCAAAGTTGTCTGTTTAACGGCTAATGCAATTAAAGAAGTATCTACACGTACTATGTAGATGTTTTTGGTTTGCTTAGGTAAGCGCAATCGATGTGGCATTTATAATAAGCAGCATGCAGAAATTGAATCCTGGGACTTGTCCTTAAAGCAAGAACGGACAATAGAGGATATTACGCAATTGTTTAGGTTCACCTGGCCCAATGATAATGCAAGCACGTACAATATGGTTTACTTATTGGTTTCCTTCGTGTTCAGCAACGATGATTACACACTACGGTTACAAGTTCCAAAAACAGTGTGTTTTTGTATGGTTTACAACAACTGCAAAAAATTTGCTGGATACATGTGGCGAAACATGTGGATGAACCTGTGGAATAACCCGATGTTTCCAAAGGTGATTCAAGAATTTAGATTTTGAGGACGGAAGTCTCTTTTAGCAGAATATGGCGGTATCGTTCTGGTAATATTTTAATCTGCCTGTATGTACGTTTAAAATTAATACTTCCTAATGGTTGTCAAAAAAGCATGCGCTTTTCAGCATATGGAAAACTAACAGATGATTTCTGTATGCGTACTATTTGATCGAATGAGACTAAAGGCCTGTAAAGAATCAGCTTTACCACAATGAGATTGGCCATATCACTTATGGACACGGTGGCGCGATACCAGTAGTTTGGGTTTCGGTAACGTTTCACATTACAACTTTCATCTCTCTTCCCGTCACTACATTCGCACACGGCACGCGTGTCAGCCTATTTTTCCACTCAACACTCACCGCATCGAAAACATATTGCGCGCGAAGCGTGGTTGACATTGAATGCATTTTGTGACTAACTTAAATTAGCTGGAGGAAAAGCTAATGCTAGTAAAGCTGTCGCTTAATGACAGTTTGTACCCCATAGCATTCAACGGCGATACCGCCTTAACGCCAAGAAGTCGGTTCTTATTCACTCATATTTCTTTCCTGCAGTGATGTTTGAATTATCCATCTGCAATGAGGTTTTACTTATCCCCTTGGTGCCAGCCAAAAGCGGTGCACCTCCCTAGTTTAGTCCATTTTTAAATGCGCCGAGCAGCCGGAAACCTTCTATCTGTTATATGTTAGGATCGGGAAGCTGAAGCTTTTCTCCATAAAGATCAGACGGTATCTTCCAACCTCTCATGCTGTTTTCTCGGCAGTATTTTTGTCATAAATGTTTCATCGAATTTCTCGTTCGTGCTCCTAAAAGCACAAAGGCCTCATGCAGCGCAGGAATAGAAAGCCAGTTCTTTAAGTTTTTGAACGTAACACTTATTATGAAAATTGTGTGTGAGTCTGTGACCAGGTGTCGGTAGTGTGAAAGTTATCACAACACGAACTGCGCCGTATGTAGTCAGCTGTCTGGAAAAAAATTAGTACGACACAGTCATGGCGAAAGTGTAGTCGAAGGCAGAGACAAGCTATCCCAGTGCTTGCTGCAGCTTCCCGAACATATTTCTCGTTTTTTTGCTGTTTTACTGCAATCTTTCTCGATTTGACTATATTTTTCCCGTTTTTTAAGAGTGTTTCCCAAAATTGCTGCGATGAGTTTCCCGAACCTATTTCTCGTTTTCTTGCAATTTTACAGCAATCTTTCTCGATTTGACTATATTTTTCCCATTTTTTAAGAGTGTTTCCCAAAAGTGCTGCGCTGGGTTTCCCGAACATATTTCTCGTTTTTTTGCTGTTTCACTTCAATCTTTCTCGATTTGACTATATTTTTCCCGTTTTTTAAGAGTGTTTCCCGAAAAAGCTGCGCTGGGTTTTCAAAACATATTTCTCGTTTTTTTGCTGTTTTACTGCAATCTTTCTCGATTTGACTATATTTTTCCCGTTTTTTAAGAGTGTTTCCCGAAATTGCTGCGCTGGGTTTCCCGAACCTATTTCTCGTTTTTTTGCAATGTTACAGCAATCTTTCTCGATTTGACTATATTTTTCCCGTTTTTTAAGAGTGTTTCCCGTTTAAGCTGCGCTGGGTTTTCAAAACATATTTCTCGTTTTTTTTGCTGTTTTACTGCAATCTTTCTCGATTTGACTATATTTTTCCCGTTTTTTAAGAGTGTTTCCCAAAAGTGCTGCGCTGGGTTTCCCGAACATATTTCTCGTTTTTTTGCTGTTTTACTGCAATCTTTCTCGATTTGACTATATTTTTCCCGTTTTTTAAGAGTGTTTCCCAAAATTGCTGCGATGGGTTTCCCGAACCTATTTCTCGTTTTCTTGCAATTTTACAGCAATCTTTCTCGATTTGACTATATTTTTCCCAATTTTACAGCAATCATTCTCGATTTGACTATATTTTTCCTATTTTTTAATAGTGTTTCCCAAAATTGCTGCGCTGGGTTGCTCAAACATATTTCTCTTTTTTTCGCATTTTACTGCAATCTTTCCTGATTTGACTATATTTTTGCTGTTTCACTTCAATCTTTCCCGATTTGACTATATTTTTCCCATTTTTTAAGAGTGTTTCCCAAAAGTGCTGCGCTGGGTTTCCCGAACATATTTCTCGTTTTTGCTGTTTTACTGCAATCTTTCCCGATTTGACTATATTTTTCCCATTTTTAAGAAGTGTTTCCCAAAATTGCTGCGCTGGGTTTCCCGAACATATTTCTCGTTTTTTTGCTGTTTCACTTCAATCTTTCCCGATTTGACTATATTTTTCCCATTTTTTAAGAGTGTTTCCCAAAAGTGCTGCGCTGGGTTTCCCGAACATATTTCTCGTTTTTTTGCTGTTTTACTGCAATCTTTCTCGATTTGACTATATTTTTCCCGTTTTTTAAGAGTGTTTCCCGAAATTGCTGCGCTGGGTTTCCCGAAACATATTTCTCGTTTTTTGCTGTTTTACTGCAATCTTTCTCGATTTGACTATATTTTTCCCGTTTTTTAAGAGTGTTTCCCAAAATTGCTGCGCTGGGTTTCCCGAACATATTTCTCGTTTTTTTGCTGTTTTACTGCAATCTTTCTCGATTTGACTATATTTTTCCTGTTTTTAAGAGTGTTTCCCAAAAGTGCTGCGCTGGGTTTCCCGAACATATTTCTCGTTTTTTTGCTGTTTCACCTCAATCTTTCCCGATTTGACTATATTTTTCCCGTTTTTTAAGAGTGTTTCTCAAAAGTGCTGCGCTGGGTTTCCCGAACATATTTCTCGTTTTTTGCTGTTTTACTGCAATCTTTCTCGATTTGACTATATTTTTCCCGTTTTTTAAGAGTGTTTCCCAAAAGTGCTGCGCTGGGTTTCCCGAAACATATTTCTCGTTTTTTTGCTGTTTTACTGCAATCTTTCCCGATTTGACTATATTTTTCCCGTTTTTAAGAGTGTTTCCCGAAATTGCTGCGCTGGGTTTCCCGAACCTATTTCTCGTTTTTTGCAATTTTACAGCAATCTTTCTCGATTTGACTATATTTTTCCCGTTTTTTAAGAGTGTTTCCCAAAAGTGCTGCGCTGGGTTTCCCGAACATATTTCTCGTTTTTTGCTGTTTTACTTCAATCTTTCTCGATTTGACTATATTTTTCCCATTTTTTAAGAGTGTTTCCCAAAAGTGCTGCGCTGGGTTTCCCGAACATATTTCTCGTTTTTTGCTGTTTTACTGCAATCTTTCCCGATTTGACTATATTTTTCCCGTTTTTAAGAGTGTTTCCCAAAAATGCTGCGCTGGGTTTCCGAACATATTTCTCGTTTTTTTGCTGTTTTACTGCAATCTTTCTCGATTTGACTATATTTTTCCCGTTTTTAAGAGTGTTTCCCAAAAGTGCTGCGCTGGGTTTCCCGAACATATTTCTCGTTTTTTTGCTGTTTTACTGCAATCTTTCTCGATTTGACTATATTTTTCCCGTTTTTAAGAGTGTTTCCCGAAATTGCTGCGCTGGGTTTCCCGAACATATTTATCGTTTTTTTGCTGTTTTACTGCAATCTTTCTCGATTTGACTATATTTTTCCCATTTTTAAGAGTGTTTCCCAAAAGTGCTGCGCTGGGTTTCCCGAACATATTTCTCGTTTTTTGCTGTTTCACTGCAATCTTTCTCGATTTGACTATATTTTTCCTGTTTTTAAGAGTGTTT